CTTAAATCTGCATTTCACATCAAATGCATTTGAAATAAGTTAGGAATCAGTGCTCCATGCTAGCTTGTAAGTGAAGAGGAAAAAGAAAGCTATGTAATGAAGTTGCTAAAGATTTTGGCTTTAATAGTGTATTTTTATCTCAGAAAAGGCCTGGGGAACTTTCCCTAAGAAACTGTGCTTGTGCCTGTAGCTCTTCTTGCCTGGAACATTTAGAGCTGTCACAGCTGGACCTTGAGCGTTTTGTGGAAAACACCCACCTACGTGTTGCTGTTGTTGGTCATTTTCCCTGTGTGTTAATTTGGACTCTTAAGGTCTATTTTAAGGCTCTTGACTGCTTCTGCCGCCCAGTTGTCAGCAGATTGCAGGAAGGAGGAATAACCTGTGTCTTGCCTGAAACGTCCAAAGCTGCWTCCCCCGTCCCGGCCGCGCGTGCATGGGGCGCCCCGCGTGTGACACGGGCTCTGCCCGCGCCCGGCCGCGCGAGCGGCTCTCCGGCCGCGAGCGTCAGCATGCCCCTTACCTTGCAGTCGTTCAGCACCCTTGCGGCACCATGAGATGTTACAGAGATTTACTTTACCTTGTGCGTAGATCTTAATAGCATGATATACAGTGTACTTCTTAATAATTGAGTTTTCATCTAATTTTTTTGTGCATTTTTCCCCTTTACATGAAGACCTTACCTGTTTGGAGCAGGATGTTTTTCTATAAAAGCTCCATGGTGAGTTCCCARTTCAATCCCAGCATGCCTATGATTCATTTGCAATGCTCACTGAAAATTACCTGTGTTGAGGCTTTTCAGTTTTGTTTGTTTGTCTGCTGCATGGCTGATCCGTAGGTAGAAGCACTGCATAAATCACATTTAAACTATGGATGTGTATTCACCATCAAGCATTGTGAAACCAGTGTGCTCGCGTTTTTTTTTTCCTTTTCTTTTTTAATCTTGGAGGGGGACATGTCATTTATAAGCAAAGAGAAGCTGAAAAAAACTCAAAATATTTCCCAGCAGACAAAACTGAATGCAATACCTTTCCAAAATAGGTGTCTCTTTTATATATAGCTTCCATTATTGTGTCAACTGAGCAATAAGTTGCTTACAAACAGAAAACATCAGTGATGGCCTCTTGATAAAGCAGATAGCAATAGGTAGACAGTGAAGTAACAGAGATGAAGTAAAATAACCACAAAAATAACTACAGAAAACAATGCTAAAAACACCATTTGCTAGAATATTTTACATAAAAAATATTTTGTTTTAATATGTAAAATTGCAACCTATCACAAGAATACACACAGAGTGATGACAGTCTTCAAGCTTCTCTATATTGCACCTTCATTTATTCCTCAGTGCTACGTAATCTTCTAGTCACCTTTCTATAATAATGTGGTGATTAAAGATTTAGACAAGAAGAACATTAGAATTTTGAAGACACTAGAGTTTTTTTTTTTGAAGAGTTTTAGCAACTTTTAGCTAGGAGTTTGTTTTAGCTGAAGATATGTATCCGCTATAGCTGTGAGTCTGTATGTGGTTCCTGGGGCTACTCTTAAGAGTTTGTTCTACATATATCACTTTCCCTTATGGCTCTATCAAAATATTTTCTTCAGCAGAAAGCTCTTAAGAGCTTCTCTAACAGCAAATTTGTAAGAGAATGGGAGAGTATAGCTACTGAAGAATTGAGGAAAGCTTGGAAGGGGATCACCCTATCAGGGTTCGTGTCAGCAGCCCCTCCACTTAGGTTAGAGAGTGCAGTATAGGAAATAGACCCCAAAATTGTTGCATATCTTTCCCAAGACTCTTTTGTGGTTTGTTTAGTGCCAGTGCTAGCTCAAAAATATGGTCTCTACTAGTCCACAGAGAAACTGGGATTAAATATACGCTTTGGGCAGAGGAAGAAGTCATGTTGTTTCCATTAAAGTCTTAATGAGACCTAGAATTATGTAAACAAAACGAATGGAGATTTGACAGCTTACTGCCTGTTGAATAAAAGAGCCTACATTTTTCCTCTTTTTCCTTGTTTTATTCATGATCTAGCAATTGGAAACATGTCTGTCTTCTGGTTTTAGGCACAATAGTAAATGAATTTACTTGATGTATTTGGAGAAAGTATGGTTTTTTGAGTATTTTTATTAAKGTAATGGCAAATTTCTTGTGTATATTTTTCTCTTAATGCTTCTGTTTTCACTTCTTTAGCCTCAGTAATATATTTACCCTCAAAAACCGAGTATCTTGCCATTTCAGAAGTCTTAATTATTGATCAGCATTGATAAGTGCTTAAAGTTTTATGGATCTGATGTATTTGAAACCTATTTGTCCTATAAAATTGTTTCTTTAAGACTGCCAAGTCTCTTAAGTTTTTGTTAATATCTGACAAATTGACGTTTTTTAGTTTGTTCCTGTCTTTTTTTTAGGCTATTTTGGTAGAAAATTCTCATCTCGTTCTTCTTTGGACATGTGTCCGTGTATATCTTTGCAAGAGTGTTGTCACCAGGTCAGGCTGTGATTCAGGAGTGTGTTAATGTGGAGGTTTGCACTTTGGCAAGGTCTCTTCCAAACACAGACCTAAGTTTCTTAAGGAAACATAAATATTTGTTGTATAGTTTTTCTGTTTCTGCTATAGACAGTTACTTTATCTCAAAAAAAAAAAAAAAAAGAAAAGAAAAAAAGTCTGACAGTTGAGTTTGAGTTTTACTGGAAATTTTGAGAAATTCTTGCCTACTGGGATCTTTGTCTTGTGGTTTGAGCCCTGAACCAAGGATTGAGAGCTCTCGAACTCCGTTGCACAAATGTTGCTGTTCAGCAGTGGCTTCCCCAGAGAGTTGCTCTTCTGCCCGCATCGWAGCCACTTGCGCTAAAGCACAGCCTAATATTGTGAAGGTTAGTGTAAAGATTCATTTAAACTCACTGCCCTTAAAAGAGAGGCCAAATGTGCCCGATTTCAGTCCTTGCAGTAGTTTATGAAGTGCTGAAAGGCTGAGAGCAAGGAAAGAGCAGAAGTTCACAGTAGAAATGAGTCATTCACCACCTACCTTCATCATCGTTGCTTTGTTTTCATTTATGAAGCTGAGAGGGTCTTTTCATCTACATAATCGTTAGGATTTATTGTTTCCAAGTTGTTAAAATATCCYAGTGACATGAAAACGTATTTTCTAATGGCAGTACTGCTGTTGAAAATAGCTGGGCTGTTGAGGTCTACTGAAAGAAATTTGAATTAGAAGGTATGGAGGAAAATGCAGGCATGAAGTGAAAGGGTGGTAAAATGAAAGATTCCTTAACTACCGAGTGTTCAGGAGAGACTTGTTGACATCTCTAGAGTGGTTGTCTTTATTTTCAGGGCAATGTYTCAGCCAAAACGATGCACTAGTAGGATTTGTTCTTTTCTGTAGCAGAGCTAAGTTTAACCACAGGAGTAATCGTGTTTTACAAGATCTGCTCTTTCTGTCTACAAAACATCATTCTTAAGTGGAAAATGTTTTGGCACTGAAACCAACACTTAAATGCATGCCTTGAAAGATGTGCGTTTTAAAGACATGGTGTAAATMGAATGTAGCTTAGCCTGTTTTCTCTAAGGCTGTTTGTCTGTGGATTTTGASAAGCAAAGATCTTGGGGACTAAGAGCATGGAGAGCCCTGTAAAGATTTCATACCTTATTGTTAGGGGACCGATTTCACTTCTGCTTAAATGCCTAAAGAAGCTGTTCAAGTCAGCTACACCTCTCAAAATTTATTCCAGCTTGTAGCTGAGACCAGAATATTCCCAGATGTATTTTTCTCATTTTAAACAATTTTAATAATCTCAGGTGGTATCATATAAATATTTAGAGTATGAGAATTATATAGAATATTCTTTTTACAAGTGTCTCGTAAGACAAAGTGAATATAGCTGAATCATGTCTGTGCTCCTTGTTTGCTTTGTATTGACTGAGGGGTAGCATTATCTTTTGGGATAATACTGTTATAAACTAAATACAATCAGTTATTGATTGAATGATAGATCAGCAAATAGCAGGACACTAGTGCACACATTTACATTTTCATTTCTGTAGGAGTACTGCTCATATATAATGTATGAATGTATTTGGAAGGTGAAAACTAAAAATAGGTACAGATACACTGTTGCAGAACAGGCTAAAAATGCTGTGTCTGTGACAGAAAAGGAAAATTTCAAAGTGAAACACATCTATGCCAAATTTTTCTGAGTTGCTAAAATGCTTAATATTATTAATACCGGTTTAAGTATTCTAATATAGACTGTGAAGTGCCCCTGGAAACAAGGTAATAAACTTAGAGTTGGGAAATCTTYTGAAGCAGTTTTTGGATGAGGTAACTTGTGATAGTTGGAAGGGCTGGTGGCAGCTAGCGGGGGCTTGGAGGTGCCGGGATACGGACTCCAATGTATTTGCTTCTTGTGACGTTTTGGTGTCTCGTGTATGTGCGAGAGCTCCAGAACTGATTGAAATGGGCTAAAATTTGTGTGAATCTTTCCACTAGCCCTGGCCAGTGTTCGGAAGCTCTTTCGAGGGGCCTTTCCATACGGGAACGTGAGCCATGCCTCGCTCCGAGCGTGGCATTGGGCCGGCCGCTCGGCGAGCRCTCCTCGCACCAGCCCTGTGCCCRCTCCTGCAAGGCCCCTGCAGAACCTCCCTGCCAGTGCAGCACAAATGCAAACGCTTGGACAGCATAAATGCAAACACTTGGTCTTTTCTCCCATTTTTGTAAGTGTGTGTTATGCAAAAAGAATACATTTTAGATTGAGGTCAGGCTGGAGCAGTTTTAGATGTTGCAAGTGGTGTGACCATGATCGTGGCAACAGTAGTTCTAACAACAGTCAGGTTTTCCCATGTCATTTACTGTATCTAGTTGCTGGAAAAAAATCAGTGTCGATTCTGCCATATATTTGAGGACTGAGTTTAGAGGACCAGRCTGTAGAGCTCTGGGCAGCTCAGGTGCGGAAATATCAACAAGTCCAGCTTGAATAATAATTTTTGTTTAACTTGCTATTCTGATATTTTTATGTTGTKTTGAATCATAATTTGTTGTTRTGTTAATATCCCTGTACAAGTAACTTGTAAATAACGAAAAGAGGATAGTATGAATTAAGTGCAATTGTAATTATTAATAGTGTTTGAATTGCTTACAGCAATTTTGAAATATTTTTCTGCTACTTAAGTTCATGATACTGTATTTGCACACTTAAGCACACAATATGCATGCGTTTATACGTTTATTTGTTAGGATTTAAGAACACTACTGTTATATACTATAATGTGGCATTATAATCACAAGATATATTGTGGAACAAGAAATTAATAGAAAGGAAAATGTAGAGGATKAGGTAGTGAGTGAAGCGGTAAAACTGGATAAAGGAGGTGATGAATCAGTTAAAAAGAAAGGTGGAAAAGGAGGAGGAATCTTGGGTAAACCTCTCAAACTTCTTTTGTACTGAACAAAGGATGAAATTTTGATTTAATGAATTGAAAAAAAGGCAGTGCTTTTAAAATGATTTTGAATTTATATAAAATATAATGGATCAATCTTTTATTATCCTTAGACTCCTGTAAACAGTTTTGCTTTTGAGTGGTTATTTCACCTATTATAAGCTCTCTGAACCCTTATTTTAAAACTACAGATCTGCTACGTGCACATTTTCAGAAGAGATGTTTTATTAATCTATTTTTATGATAAAGTTACTGCTTTGTTTTAGCCTAACACGTGTGTCTGCTTTGTTTCCATTTCCTTGTATCCCCTGCATGTTGCTTCCCTACCATGTTGCCCATGTTGCCTATCTCTTGGTGTGCTCACTGACATTGCTCTGTGCCAGGCTGTAGCTGTTCAGCAGTAGATGCTTCATAGGTGTCCTAGAAAATGGCAAAAACTGAGATGACTGACCCAGATTCTAGATTTTTATTCTCAAARGACTTCACATGAATACAACTGTTCGTATTCATTTCATTTGTAGGTTGGTTGTGATAAATGCAGATGTTAAATATGGGTTCTTTCAAACAGCTGGAAAAATTTTGCATTATTATATTGTTCTCCTCTTAAAGTTAATGCATTCAGTGGTCAAGGTGAATTTGAGACCTAATATCTAGAAACTCAAAGTGTCTACAAACTCTGCTCAATCTTACGAGAACTGCAGATGCTCAACATTTTTGAATTAATATTTTAGAATGACTTTTAAGCAAGGGGCATCATAATTTTTGAGAATTAACTGTCGTAATATTATCTTGTTCTTTCTTGAAGCAAAAGCAAGCCAGCTCCACAAATTTCACCCAGCAAGTCTGTGGGAGGAGAGTTTTGTGTCGCCGCAGTCTTTGGATCATCAAGATCCTGGTTTGCCAACAATCCTGGTCTGAAAAGAGAAAAAGGTTTGTACACCACAAAAATAAAATTTGGATTTAAATTTAAGTTCTCTGTTTTTCCATCATTTTGTGATGATTTGTGAGCACCTGGTGCCTATTTCTTATTTTGTTCCTTAAGTTCAGTGCTGGTGGAGATTTTTGGGAACATGCAGTTGCAGGGCTTTCAGCGAAATAACAGAATTTACAAGAAATAGTGAAATGAGTCTTTGATCTTTCATGGTATGATGACAGAAAAGAAACTTTTTGGTGGCTCAGTGCAAAGATATTGTGTGAAATTTTCCAGAGCAAGCAGCGCTATAAGGGTGAAACACCTTTCCTGCAGTGCCTGTCTAGACATACCTTTAGCAATGTGTAATGACCCAAACGCACTTGAGAGAGTGTATTCCACCTACTTGTATGTGTGGCATTTATATTTTTGGAAACAAGGTAAAAATTAATTGTGATTTGTATACTTTTCTATTTGTTCAGCCTTGTTTTAATTCATATTTTTGATGACAAGATATCAACAGCAATAGACTTAAAATAACTAGATATCTGCTGTGCTATAAATAACTTTCTCTTTTGTGATTCTTACATGCTGTTAATGAGGTTTTCTGTTTCTTCTTGCAAATAGATCAATCAAAGCAATTTGTAGTGGAATCACTGTACATTATCAGTTGTTACGGCAGCCTGGTGGAACACGTTTTGGAACCGCGTCCTCTCAGCACTGCTCCCAAGATTAGTGATGACACACCCTTGGAAATGGTGACGTGCCCGAGAGCCAGCTGGACTTTGGTTAGGTAGCAAATTCCCTTTTTCCTCTCTTTGCTCTTGTCCAGAAAACTGTCGTGAGCTTTTCTTGAAAGGGGAAGAACGAGCTGCATCATTGCCTGGAAGCCTTTTTTTTATACTTCAGAGTCYTACAATTTTCCCTTGAAAGAGAGACTCCTCATAACAAATTTAAGAGCAACTTTTCATGCTGTTCTGTTAGCTCCTAAATGGCAGCTAACCATTTAAATACTTTTGTAGACCTGGAGCTACATGAATATGTTTTAAATCAATAGAGAGCCTTATCAACTAGTAACTTTTAAATAATCAGTGTATAATTTAGTTTTTTTATATAATTTAGTTATAAATAGTAGAAACTATTATTTTAAGTGTTAAAATATAGAATTGGGACATGAGAAGTGTATGAGAATTTCAAGACAGAGCACTGCATTAGGCAAGATATCCTGTAAACAGCTGGAGGTAGCATTTCTCAAGATAGTTGCAGAAATTATCCCTGACATGTGGAAGAAAGTAAACAAAAATTGATGAGAAACTGTTGTCAGTGCTTTTGACGTTTTAAAATATTTTTCCATCGATTTTTTTTTTCCCTTTTTTTCTCCTTCCTTGGCTCCATATTTCTCAGTGATAGATTATATTGATCAATCGTTGAYTTACCAAGCTATTTAGGAATGGCCCACCCTAATTAAAATTACAACACAGACTTCTAGACCATTATTGTTGAAATGAGTAGGTTGTAATGGAATTGAAAATTCTAATTGGATCAATAGCCCATAACTTTACACAACTTTATTTTCACAGTTTATAAATGCTCAATTGACTTTACAGTATCGAAGCAATGCTAGTTAACAGAACAAAAAATTCCCTGGATTCAGTTGCGTGTTAATATTGAATAAAGTTAGCATGACATATGATGGTCCTGAACATATTTACCATGTTGATTTAAACTGCCTTCATTTTTCTGTGCATTATCTGTTCTGCAGTCAACAAAGACACGTTCTTTCCTTCACAATCTGTGCAAAGTGGTCGTGCTGTTCAACTGCCTGTGGTATATTCCAGTGTTTGAACAAGCTAATTTAAATAATTACAAACATTTTGGGAGCTAGTATAATTACATGTGATGACAGAAACACTGATTTACATTCTCTGCATTAGCTTAAATATTAATAGCCTTGTGTTTTACCTCAGAACTCCTCAGTGGAATGAGCTCCAACCACCATTTAATGCAAACCATCCACTGCTCCTGGCGGCAGATGCAGTGCAGTACTACCAGTATCTCCTCGCTGGCTGTAAGTAGCTTGGAGCTCTCTCTYCTTGTATATACAGATTTTAAGGTACAAATGTGACTTTCTAGAAAAGTTTTTCATCACACGGTATTGGAACAAGATAGTTATCCAGGAGAATTTCTCAAAGTTTGTTAGGAAYGTACAAGCAAGGGCAGAGTGTTGGTACAAGACATCAATGAAATGAAACGAAGATTTGGAGACAACTTACTGTGACAGACTTATTTTAGAAATGTAGCAGCGGATTGGGATAGATAAAATATTTCCATGGCTTTCCATTATAAATTCCCACACTGATTAGGAAAGCACCCGTTTATAACTCAGCTATAAAATTTTGCTGCAGGTTAAAATACATCTTAAAAAGTTGAGGTTCAGTATGGAATTTTTCTTTCTTTTTTTTTTTTTTTTTAATGAAAACATCTGGTTAAGCTTACATGACAAAAGTCCACAAAAGGATAATAGATTTTTTTTCCTTTTCCTTGGTTAATTTTATAGTATGTGGAATCTTGGTGGTCAGGTTTATGGTACAGTTTACTAGCTTTGAATTTTCTAACTTCTAAAATTCCCAAGTTTTCTTATATTTCTTTGCAACTCAGCCAACTGCAAGTTAACATGCATCGTTGTGTGAAGTAAATGCATATGTCATAGCATATGTCATTATACTGATACCATGTAAATATGGAGCAAACTAGAAGCAAGTATGTTCAGAAAGTTTATAATATTCAGCAATATAATAGCATCTCGGGCAGCCGCTTTCCTCAGGAACCATGGCATCATTTCCAGGGATGCCTGCCCACCTGCTTCATTCTGCGGGCTATCCAGAGCGTTGTTTCAGGGAGTCCGGCTGTTTGCATTGTATATGCAGAAACATTTTGTATACATACATACCTTYATGTATAATATATACACATGTGCAGAAATACATACGCATTTATAACTTCTTTATGTTTAGATAATTTAGAAGGGAGAAGGCTATTAGCAGTAAATAGCAAGTCTCTTTTTTAAATCTAGGATGTAGTCAAGATCAAAAAGATAAAATCATTTTAAAGTTTCACAAGGGAACAACTCTTGACAGATATAAGGGTGCTCCTGGGAAAACTAGATCCTGGGCTCAGTTGCCAGCATGGCTAATGCCAGCGTGTTATGTGACCGAGGCATTTAAAAGGCAGCAAGTGGACATCTGGGCCAAAAGAAAACGTGCCTGAGTGTGACTGCTACAAGCAGCCCTGGCGCCAGATAGATCTGTTGCTTTTACCTGCCCATCTGCTGCACGGGAGCCACGGACGTTGCGGCAGCCAACAGCGCTCGACAACCCCTGTGGCTCCGTGGCCGAGGGAGTGTTCACAAGGCTAAAGATCCTCCTACCGCTTGTGATTATGGGGGGACTCATTTCCTCTGTGTTTGTTTTAGTGTATGCCTTCTAGCTGCTGTGGAAATGGCAGCTAATGTGTTGCACAGGTTGAATCAGAACAGAGGGAAAAAAACCTTTTGAGAGCATAAATGTTCATGAATATGGATCAGACTCATCTCGCTAACTGAAATCAGGGATGGATTCGTTCTGCAATTCATTACCAACCCAAACACTTTGTGTTTTGAATCTTTTTGTACTGAAACCTATTGAAGAAGAACAAGTTAATTAATGGCTTAATTCTGGCCAATAATGACCGTGCAGGGCTGGCTGGAACACCTGCAAGCTCCGGGTCAGTGTTTCTGCAGTGCAGAGCTCCCCGCCCCGCTCACCTGCGGTCGCGCCGAGCCCGGGTCTGATCTGCCATCGCCTCCCTCACTGCGCTTAATTGCAGCTGATGCCTGAAGAGGGGTTTCGGGTGGACGTTACATCTGTGTCTGCCACGTTTGAGGTAAAAGGAGCCCTGGCGCCGTTTCAGGGTCGCTATTTGCGGCTGTCCGTCAGAGCTGGGATGCGGGCGCTCCTCCCGGGCGCTGTCTAGCGTTTCTGCCGATTGTTTGGCTCCATTAAGTGCACAGGGGAAATAAAAGCCTGAATGACCAAGTCACCAGGGGCTGGTACAGACCTGCTCTTTGTCTGCCCTCGGAGCGCTGCATTAGGTCTCATTATCCATTTATAACGCGCGACCTCTGGCCCGCGGGTCGGTGGAACCTCCTTGGAGCACAGAGCACCTCTGTGAGCGGCCGGAGCACAAAGCCGYRCCGGCAGCGCTGCYGCCGTCCCCGCGGCCTGCCCAGCARTGCACCAGCTGCCAAGTTTGCAGCAGGGAGAGCGTTTGAGAAACAMTTCCAGTGTTACATGTGCACAGTTCGGCTTATAACAGTGTTTTCCACAGGATTTTAGAGGATTTTCCTTAGCTAACCAGGAACCATTGTTTGAAGAAATGCTTAGAACAACAAGTGTCCGAGACYTTTCTCCCCAGGGTGTCTGTAAGTGGTTTGGCACAGCTGTCTCRCTGCTTGGAGGTCATCCATGACATCTGCTGCCGAAACCTGGCACCGGGCATGCAGCCCCCTCCTACCTGGGTGCTTTCCATGGCCTGGTCTGTCGGACACGCGGACATGGGAGATGCGGGTGCGGGGCCCTGTCAAGCGCCTGCCCCGCTGCCCCGTGGYGCCAAACCCAGCCCCTCAGCTTCTCGTGGAGCAGGTTGCGTCCTGCAGAGCCCTGTGTGTGYTACAGACTCTGTGCCTTCCATAGTAGGTGGTAGTCATAGGCACTAGAGCTTTCCCCTGTGTCCTTCTGCAGTTTAACATATAGTACTTTACCTTTATTTATGTCTGTGCTCTGCTAGTGTTCCCTCTTTATGTGTGTTCTGGACAACTCCCAAATTTCATTTAATTTCATTCCTGAAAGGAAGGAAATGTGGTCACATTTTGCTGTTCTTAATACGTTTTTCCTACAATATAAATCCTCTGGCACAGTTAATGCCACTGGTAGCMGCCCTCACAGTAGGAGGAGGGTTGTGCTCAGTGCTGCCCACGTAGGAGACTTCCTTGTGGCCCAGGGAACTTGCAATATAAAGAGCAGGTCTTCCAAAAAATTCCAAGATTCAACATTATTTATTTTACAGATACTACTTGCTTCCTAGTAATTCCTCTGCTTAATTTCTTTTAAGGAATTAAGATGCTTGTAACAGTGTAAACTGCTGCTGCGAGCTGCTAAGGGGTGCTCCGTGTGTGTGACCATCAGCTATTTGGATTCAGGTTTCTTTCTAATGACTGCTACTGTTTCCTCAGTGTAATCTTGTGTATTTGATTGACCTAATGTGTCTTCTTCTAGCTTCCATACCTTTCCTTTTTGTGTGTTTGACATTAGGTATGTGGTGTATAATACATKGACAATGAAAATAGATCATTTATAGATCATTTTGAATGCAAGCAGGACTTCTGACACCGTAATTTCATACTACTTGTTTCCTTTCTTTACCTACTTCTCCTCTTCCAGTTCTTTGGAGAAATGAGCTGTAGTTATTCTCAGACATCTGAAACATCTGCAATTAACACTTGGGGAAAAGCTAAAAAAAAAAAAAAAAAAAAAAAAAAAAAAAAACAAAACAAAACAAAAAAACTCTAAATCAGAACAAAAGCTGCCTGAAAAGGGTATTGAATAACATGAGTTACGATCTCTCTCCCCTGGCTGTGGAAAGGGCCCCTTCCCATCCAGGCAAGACTTTTGGTGCATCAGGACCAGTTTTACAGAGACTACCTGCAGTTGTCAGGTCTCAGGCCAATGACAAGAATTAATATATTAACTGGTGTGCAGTACTCTTTGACAAATTGCTTACTAAATACATCAAAATTGATTGGACCTTCTGTGTTTAAATTGACAAATGACTGCATTAGTGGAAGGAGGGAAATCCATTAATTACAGCTGCCCTCAACCATAGGAAATGTAATCGTATAAATATAGATTTTGTTAAAACAAAAGTCTTTACTTTGCTGTAGTGTTGCTGGTAAGTGTACTTGCACCTCCATGCTATTAAGCCTCCAGTAGGAGGTTTTGAAGACAGATCTTAGCGATTGACTTTTAAATAATCAAAGAGCATTTCTGTTGTGTTAAAAGGAATGATGCCGTGTTCCTTATCCCGCCATGACCACTTCTGGAAATTGGGTTTTTCTCTTGCAGAAAAATGGGCCTGTAGCTGAGGCTTCGGCTGTCTCATTAATTGTTTATTCTAGATGCCATGCAATTCGTATTCTACAGTTTGAGAATTAAAAAAACATGGAAGGCTCCTTTCCTCAGCCAGTGCGCTCTGTTCCCATTCTTTGTTCCTGCACTGTTCCCGAGTAGTTAATGCTTGCATGGCTGGTATTTTATGTCTGAGTAAGAATTTGCTTTTGAGGTAGGCCTGGAGATACCAGTTTTATAGTCTTTGTTAAGGAATTCTTGAAAAGATTAAGGCCTGTGTTTATAGCTGCCTTTGCAACAGGTTTTCATTTCTGGACCAACTGCTGTTTGTATCTTGGGTTTTACTTAAACGGGCTCGATAAGCAGTTAAACCTCCTAACTATTCATTGTCTTCAAAGGGATGGAATTAACCTTTTTTCACTGTGTGTTTGAGCTCAATCATAACACAATTTCCGTAGATAAATCTGAGAACTGACATCGTGTTCACGGCTCCTGCTCCCTCTGCCGAAAGCCATGCATCCAGAGCAAAGTTTGGTGCTCTAAGCACCATGGCAGTAATTGCCAGTTTTAGATTCATTTAATACGTTCTGTTGATGGACATAAAAATTCCATTCATACAGCTAGAGCATATCATGCAGTGGAGGCATGACTGAGAATGAGTAGGATATGGGTTAGATACCATGTGAATATATATGTTAGATACCATGTGAATATAAGTCCTTAACAGGCGAAGCTGCCAGGCCACTTACTCTTTCTGCTTGAAATCATCCTCAGCCAGTACATTCTTTTCATGGAATGCTTTCTTATTGCCACATAATAAAAGAATACGACAGAATACAGGAGCTTATGATGCTTCCCTTCCTTCCCACTGTTTCAGTGGTTTTCTGAGGTTTTCTGAAAACATTGTATTTTTACTATATCTAACTTTGATCTTGTATTTTCAAACTGTCATCACTTGCAAGTTGGTGAACAAGGAATCTATCTATTTTATTGACTATCTGTGTTTTGCTGGTATTGGTCTCAAACAATGAAAACAGAAGTTTCACGTCTGCTGCTTGCTTTTCCTGGGGTAAAAGTTTGCAAGCTAATCTGGATCACTTTCATTTACAGAAGAAAAAAAAGAGATGTTTTTAATGGAAGTTGCAGTCCATGATCTTTTTAAGCTAAGTTTCCCTAAAACTGTAACCTGCCCTTCCTGCTCCCTCCAGGAAACAGGATTAAGTGGTAAAGGGAAGCAAATTTAATTTCTGAGTATTGGACTGATTGGGGTAAATAGAAACAGGACAGGTATAGTTTCATTAAAGAGCTACATCATTGCGTGTAAGCAATGTGGTAAATCAGGGAAGGAATATGCCGTATATTCTTTACTCAGAACTGTTATTTATGTAATAATATAGATAAGATGGATAAAAATTAACCATGTAATGTTCATTGGGTGTTGCAAATGTAAGTTTTCAAAACTTGTATATACCTGGACATGTACATGGTTTCAGCAGATTGCTCAGTGCTTGCACATTTTAATCCATATTTTATATACTGAATGCTGGAAGTAGTGCTGAATACAGGAATTAAAATACTTTCAGATGTGTACAAACAACAATAATGAACAAGGGCACATGCTGAAACAGTTCCTTACCATTCCTACATGGTCATCTGGAACTTCTTAGAGAGAGGTCCATCAACACGAAGGGGTCAGTTTTCAAAGCAGTGTACAGGGATTTAGCCGCGCGACTCCTATTGACGTTAATGGGAGTCAAACGGGTAAATCCCCACGCACCGCTTTGAAAATTTACTACTAAGCCTCCTGACTTCTCACTACATACTTTGATTGTAACAGTAATCCATGGTTAACATAATTTTCCCGACAATAATGTCAAACATACTTTTGAAGTCAGTGAATTATAGAAATAGTTACCTCTTCCATAATTCTTTAAAGATGGCCATCAGATGGATTTCACCATAGGTTCTTGCATTTAAAATTATTCTTTAACCCAGGAAAGAATAATATATGTGTCGTCCCTCGGTACAGAACCAAGTGCCTGCTCGGTTGGGGTATTTCAAGCGTTACATAGCCTTAAGATACTCTGTGCTGTAAGTAATGTCATTGATTCTGGCTCTACCTGCCTYGGGTGATCCTTTACTAGAGTAGTTTCCTATGGGAGCTTGGGGAGAGGAAGCTGGAGCTGGGCACAGGGAATGGGCCGTGGGATCCCACAGCAGCGCGGAGTCAAGGGCACCTAAAGCGCTCCCTGAACCCTGGGAAAATCCGAGGAGAATCCGTATCCTGCTCACACTGCTAACTAGCCYTTTAAGATTAAAGGCGGGCGCAGAGAATGGGTTTCTTTATGTCTATAAAGCACCTAATAAACTGTGGTCAATTTACAAATAATGAATGAATAAATCTGTAAGTCAGCTGGTGCTGTGAAGGAACTGTTAGGCTGGCTAAACTATCCTAGTTTACAGGGCTTTTTTAGTATAATTTTATGATGCTCATGCATATAAGACTCTCAGAAAGAGGACAAAAATTGCTGGGGAAGACTTGAGAGGGAAAGAAGATATTTTAATTTGCATGGAATGCCCCTGCAGGATTTACAAGCTGCAGAAGAGCCTGACACGCAGAGCTGGGTTCAGCAGGCCCTAGCCGCAACTACAAATGCACAGAGCCCTTCTCCAGAATGCAAACAGTTTATCTTAAACGTGGCTGTAGGAATTCTGCCTGAAAGGCAAAGCCGCTCTCTGCTTTATTGCCAAGCTGCAGCRAAGCAGAGGCGCTGGTCAAGCCCTGTGCTGCAAGGCGCCGATTGGAGCCGTGCGCCCCAAGCCCTGGCGAGCGCCTGCTGCATGAGGAGCCTTCCATGCACCCCGGCACCTGCCTGCTCCCGACACCGGCTCCCAGGGAAGCGGGGTCCCTCCTCGACATAGGAAACGAAAGTTGGAGCCATTGAATTGAACGGAAAGTGGCTGTGTACAGACCCGAAGCAGAGCTGTCACAGCCCGCTGCTCGAGTGTGACGTGATGGAACCAATGCAGCAGTTGTTCCAAAAGTAGCATGAAGTAAATCATTGAAAATGTGGGCTTTCATTTTCAACGAAATATTCCTGAAGCATGTTGACAAGCATGTGATTACCTCAGGTCTCCGTACCACCTAGGATCACTTTCGGTACGACTTTAAAACCACAGAAACAGCATCAGAATCAGATGTGAGTGTGCGATTCATACGAGGCCAGTGTCGGGCTTGGTGGGTTTGCAGTTTGCATACCTGTTTCCCATGAACATCACGAGGGAGACTGCATAAACCAAGGAGACACTTTGGACTTGATGAAGTTGAGATACGTTGTTTTTGTTTCGACTAGGTTGTAGAGTCTTATTTCATTTCCATTAGAGGCTTTGTGGATCCAGCTGAAGGGAAGGAAAGGTTTCTGGAAGTGCCTGCGTGTGTATGGCAGGCGATGCACAGCAAATACTCTTTAGAGTCTCTAAATGTCTTTCTTAGCTCTTAATTTGGCCAAACATACATGCCTTGGAGAAGAGCACGTTGGGAATTTCATATGTAACTCAATTAAATTAAATTGTGTAAATCTTGTTTATATAAATGAGAAAATTAAAACCTTTTGGTTCAAAAAGTACAGAAAACCAAGTAAAACTAATGATTTATTGTTCACAAATTAAAACCAGAAGTGCATGCACAACAATTGAGCTGTACTCGCTCTTTGTTCCAGCGCTGCTCTGCTGTTGAAAGATGACAATTTATAATCTCTGAATGAATAAGGATTTGTCTTAGGTCTAGGTATTTATTGTATAATTGGCCCATCTCTGAACAAAAGGACTGTTAATTCCAGTATTTGCCAACCACGTGTATTAGTCTAGGTTTTGCCCGTTTGTCAAGAAGGTCTAGGCAAATTATTTCTGAGTTTAATATTCATTGTTTGCTTTATTTGTGCACTTAAATATTGCAGCAGAGTTTCAACAGAAAGGTTTTTTCTTACGTAGTCTTTGTTTTTAGATCCTCGCCTTAGTCTTTCTTCAATATAGGAAGAATACAGTATTCTAGTTGGAAATGGCTCCGTAGTTGAGGTTGCATTCAGATATCCTCTTGACAAAAAACAGGATGAAAAATCTCTTTATGCCATATAGTATCCAAATTTATGAAAAAACTGTGGTGTTTATATTGTAGAGGCGCCGTTCTGTATTTATGGTTACAATTGTGTCTGCTTKGCCATTATAAACTCCTGTTATTAGGGGTTTATAACATGGCTGTAAAATTTGTAGAGGATGGAAACTTGACACAGAAAGGTTAACCCTATAATAATATACTTTTTAATAATCAATTTTTAAAAGTTAGATCCCTCTTAGATTATGTGACTATAAAAACAGTGCATATAATTTTAGGATTGTCCTATATCCTAGCACCRCAGCATAAAACTCTTTTGTCTTATCAAAATAACCTATGTTATGTTCATTTCTTTTAGCTTGCATTGATGGTGTCTTTTCTTATTACTGTTATAAAAATACTGTTACTGTCATAAAAAGGTGACATTAAAATTGTTCTAAGGCACTTCCAATTGAACTGGGAGAAAATATACTGTATACCTTGTAAAGCCACCTTTAAGTTAACGGTATCAATGTTAAAATGAGCGTGATCATTCTGCCAGTGAAATCTCACAACTCTCTGTGCTCAAAGTCAGTAAATGTACCAGGGCTTCAGGGTAGTCTTTGAAAGCAGCTTTCTTCATTACACACTTCAGCTTAATAGAAAAAGAGCAAGTCATATTCTCATAGCGTTTGTATATAAATTCAGATTTTAGGAGTACAACTGTATTACTTTTGTTGTTGATTTTTAAGCTCTTTCTGCACTCCAGCAGATTTAGGAAAATACCTATTGTGCTCTACTAGTAACGAGCTGATAAAGCTGATATGAAAATGTTTAACAATAAATTTTATTTTTATTTATTTTTTTTTGTCTCCCCTTCCTCTTTCACAGTGGTCCCACCAGGGAGTCCTGGACCCATTACTCGGCATGAATCCTATGACAGCCTGGCATCTGACCACAGTGGTCAAGAGGATGAAGAGTGGCTTTCCCAGGTGTGTTTTTCTGCGGGAGAGGCAGTTCCGTATTAGGAGCAACTGAATAATAATATCTATTAGAAGAAAAATTGAGAAAATTATTCACAATGCAGTAGCTTGTTTTACTGTCCTAGTGACTTTCCATTATAGTGGGAAATCTTGGAACAAAAGAATAAGGTGAAACTACATAATGGRGGTTGGTGTATTACTATTTCTAGGTACATATAGAAAGTCAAAAGAACTTGAAAATACTCAAAATTCATCACATCTGTTCTTCACTACAAGAGTAAATATATTTATAGGAAAGAAACCTCCAGTGACGTTACTCAGAGCACAAAATTCAGAGAAGGCTTCAGGAATGCACAATTTTTGCTAGGTGGAAAAAGGGTGATGGTATCTCTCTTGAGCATGGAGACACTAGTGTTCGCTAAGCAAGCCACTTTAGATTAAGCCTAAAGAGCAAGTATGTTTTTCAAAATTAAAGTGTTGTTATCAACAGTAACAGCATGCAGCGAAAAAACACTGCCCTTCACTTCAACTTTTCAATTAGAACAGTGGGTAATGTGTGCTGTCAGTGTGAAGTAGATACAATATGTTTGTCCTGCACACAACAGGAGAGTGAATAGGAACATCTGGCCGTAGCCTCAGTAAAATTGCAAAGGCATCTGTTTACCTCTCGGCTCTGTGACACTGATGGTTTCAAGCTTAAAATACACAGATTACTTTATCTGTGGCCTAATTTACACTGCTACATAAAAGCTACTTGACTCAGAAATGTCTACAGTCAGTCTGAGTTATGCGAAGATAAATGTAAAGAYGGAAATAGTGCTAAATAGGCTGTGTATTTGTCATCTTATGTTAGCAGAGAACTATCTTAGAACATTATCTAGTGTTTAATATTTCTTCTCGAGGAATTGAGGCTCACTAGTAGTACAGTAATGTATCGGTAAAGAAAACTAAGATAGGCATCTATATGCCATAAATTACAGGAAGGTATTTTTGTGAAATTCTTTAGTAGGTTGCATTCTTCTTGTGAAGCCAATTACTGCTTTAGCAAAACCTGATGGGAATTTAATAGTTTATTTTGTCGTTCTAAAACTTGAGTTCACCAAAGCTTAATATTTTCATTTCATATTGGCAGTTTCAGATAAACATCTCACGTGTGTTCTTTCACACTGCAAGCAAATGACTTTACCTTTCTTTTAGTTGTCGGAATTCTGGTTAAATATATGTAAAACTTATCTGCTGTTCTGAACTGCACGTTGCATATATACTTATACTACATAACCTTAAAATGGATATGACCTGAGCTATTTAGTCTTACATTGTACTCCATTGCTCTCTCTGTTACAAATTATGTTGCTTTTCAGCAAGCTGGTTCCTGCCAGCAGTATCCTTGCATATGCCAGTAATGATTATGAGCTTTGATTTGAARTCCAGTTCACAGTACATACATGTGAAGCAGTGCTGTTTAATGTGTGAACTCCTAGAAAGCCACAGGAACAAAACTGTAACAGCTTGCTTTTCAAAAGTGCATTYCTTAGCCTGGTCAAGATTAAAGTTATTGACAACCGTGTTTGGTGGAAGTGGACTTTGAGTTGCTTTGTCTAATCCATGCACATTCAAACAGAAATCTGTCCCTCTTTTTTTTGCGGCTGCAGTGCTAGCTTGTTAGTTTGTGAGTTGTAGCATGTATTTCGTAATGGCAAGGGTCAATGATGAGCAGAATCAAGTGAAATGATTGCTAAGCTGCAGTTTTATGGTATTTTGCAATATCCTGACAGGTTGAAATAGTGACTCACACCGGACCTCATAGACGCCTATGGATGGGCCCACAGTTCCAGTTCAAAACGATTCACCCGTCTGGCCAAACAACAGTCATTTCATCGAGTTCTTCCGTGCTGCAGTCACATGGTCCAAGTGACACCCCACAGCCTCTTCTGGACTTTGATACAGATGATCTGGATCTCAACAGTCTCAGGTAAAAAAAAWAATTTCCAAGCTGTTTAACGTTTCTTGTGTGAATAACTTGCTTAATGCTTAAATGAGCCCATCTGTGTGGGATGTGTAAGAGCTTTCATCGAGATTGTCCAGATGAAAGAGAAGAACATGTGACTTAATAACAATAAACCTTCATCCAGGCCAGACACCTTCGATTCCTTCCTGTTACTGCTCCTTGCCTAAATGACACTGGAAGGCAGCGTCCGGCTGCCTTGTGCTGGTGCATGAGCCCGTGAGAAGCTCAACATCTCCCTGGCTTTCACAGCTTCTACATTGCTTAAATTCATTTGCTCATGCACAAGTAGGAGCTTTAGGCTTTACATTTTTATGCGGACTGTAAAGCAGTCAGTGTGTTGGAACAGTAAGTGAAGGTATGGAATGGTTTTCCTCTCCCCTTCCTTTCCKTGCTTTTCTTAATTTGCTTCCTTCCCTGTCATTTCTGTTTTTAGTTTGTTTGGGGATGCTCGCTTTTTGCATACTCYTGATCTGTCTGTGGATGGATTATCCACATATTGTTGCTATAAAACAAGAATAATTCAAGTTTTCAACAGTTGGTTGATTTTTAAAATAAGTAGTAGCTTGTTGACTCAGGTTTGTGATTTAATAAGAGCCCCCCTGAGCAGTGATGGTGATGCCGTGACACCTGTGACTCATCTTTCAGAATTCAGCCGGTTCGCTCTGAACCCGTTAGCATGCCGGGATCGTCACGGCCGGTTTCTGATCGCAGAGGAGTTTCCACAGTGATTGATGCTACCTCAGGTAGAAATATGTTGATTTCATTTTTTTTCTTTATTCACAACATTCATCAACCTTGTCTCGTTTTTTCTGATAAAATGTTTACTAACCAATGCCACATAACTAAAAGGATATCAAGACTTTCAGCTGCACTGTACGGTAAGTGCCATTTTACMTAAACACATACTGAAGACTATCATGAGAATGACTTTTTTCCTCACTCAATTCTGAAGTCAAAGCACTGTCATAATATCAAAATGTGATACTGATTTCAGTTTAACATGAGCTTCCGAATGCTAGAAATGCCTACTCAAAAGCAGAACATGTGCAAATGCTAATGCTGAAATGCTTATATTAATGATTGCCTAAAGCATAGAATATTACAGTTGCACCTCATTTATAAAATAACTTTCGTTGAAATGTAATCATAAAAGTTGTATTGATTTTTTTTTGTGAACATTCAAGACAACAGGAGTAGTTTAATTCTTCCTGTATGAGGCATGCCTCTCTGCAAGTGTGTAAATTTAATACAAGAGTGGTTATGTTAATATCAACATATGTTCCGTAAAGTTTTCTTTTCTCATGTTGCTGGGGTCTAGTCTGTTTAAAGAAACGCAGGCAGCAGCGCTTTCTATTGCAGTGCAGCTGTCGAGCATCTGAAGGTTCCACCCAGCAGGATTTTGTCAAATCAAATCTCTCACAAGTAGAATATTAAACACACAGCATTAGTCAAACAGTCAAGTCGGAGAGGATTTTAATCTTTAGTGATTTCAAAATCCCTGGAGACCACTGATTGGATTGCGGCTAAACTGTGAAAGGAAACTGTAACACACACAGAAAGTGATTTCTGAAGGTTGTTTTAGAGACACTGAAATAAAGGCTCCTGTTCCAGTCTGTTTTAGGTGCATATACATTTCAGAGTCCAAGATACAGCATTGTTTTCGAGATTAATTTCTCTTTTACAGGGTATTGCAGGATATATATATATGTGTGTGTGTGTGTGTGTGTATATTAGATTTTTAGATTGGTGTCTGCAACTGAATTCAATAATAACTACGTTTACTTTTGCTTTTGAGGATTGTCATTATAAATTCCATTTTCACATATTTGGAACTGCTCGCTTAAAGAGAGTTTTAGTTGTTCTAGTGTATGTCAAAGTAATTTTAAAAACAATTGTTTAATACATAAGAAAACATCCGTCATGATATCTTCGGACTAGTTCATTTATGTCTGTTACTCCTAAAAAGTTACAAGCTTGAATCAGAGGAGTGCTTCTGTCTGTATGTCTGAAACTTGAAATTCAGTGATTAATGGCAGAGTTCTTCTCTACCATTGTGCCTTTGCTGATACAGCCAGACAGCTGTGTTACCAGGTATTCTTTTCCTGTTTTTCCCTTTTGTGCTTGAATGGAGCAATGCAGTAACCTATAACACAGATRCATTCTCATTCTAAACTCTAACCACAAAGTATTCTGTAAATGCTTTGTTTTGTCTACACTGGAAACAATGAACCGTGCAGGACTTTGCCYCTTCTGTGCTGAATAGCCTTTCCTACAGCGTGGATGGGCCCTTAATGTAGAATGGCTCATGAGTGTGATGAAGCTCTCTTGGTAATGTCTTTAACATGTGTATCCATATTAAAATTGCCAAAGTCAATTGTATACATTGTTATGACACTAAAAATATATTTACTGTACAGCAGTGACTCAGTTTTGTTATAACACCTCATAAGTTTCTTATAAACAATACATGGGTTTTGTTAGAGACATGCTGATAGCAGTATTTTATTTAACTTCACTGCCAGATGATTTGGATTCAAATTGATTTTTGATTCAAGGACTTTAACATCTATTTACAGTTTTTTGTATTGCGTGATTCCCAGTCCTTTCCATGCAGAAACTATTGTTCCATATTAAGGGTAGATGCTGGATGATGTGTGATGGTTCAGGGATGTGAACTCTGCTATGGAGTAAAGGAGATGGACTGGTTCTTGAGAGCTCATGCTATTCTAAAGGGTCCAGCAAAGGAAGAGTTATTTTATGCTTACTTTCTTTTCTTTCCACCTCCACCTCTTTCAGTATTTATTAGTTGTACRGAAAGATGTGTTAAGCTCTGCTCTGAATGTAAAGGTTTTATTTTAAGTACTGTTCATGTATGATATTGTATTTATTGTATTGCAGTCCACTACTGTAAATATTCTCATTTCCTGCTATTACCAAGGCATAACGTCAATGGCTTACATTCTTTATGAAAAGCAAATTTATTGGAAAACACGTTTTTAGGTTTGAGGGATTTCTTAAGTAGATCGTAAATTTTTACTGCCTGAGCTGAACCAGGAAGTGATTCTTCAGCTATGACCCATGCATCGAACCCGTTGCTCTTTATGAAGATGCTTATCTGGCTGTTTGACTGCCTGTTGCTTAGAGATACCACCAGTGTGGCGCCTCCTCTTATCTAACCCCATCGCTTGTTCTTCCCATCAAAAGATTTCAAGTATGTGTTTATCATCTCTAATTATTCTTGCAGCATACTCTCTAGCTCCCTTCCCTCTTTCCTGTCAGTGACGACTCTGTCCTTGTGTTTAGTGAGACATTTGTGTATTTTTTTCGTATTTCAGTAYGATTGTCTCAACTTCTGGGTTTTTAGGTCTTCATTTCAAGAGCTCTTTAGAATGGAAAATGGTCTTTTTTTTTTTTTAATTGAATCTTTAAGGAAATTTTGCAAAAATGTTAGTTACCTAGAGCTACCGGACATTTGCCCTGCAATGCATGCGTTTTAGTCTTGTGCATCAGGGAGAGAAAATACCCTCAAGCATTAGATGCACTGCAATTCCAGATGCTCTTCCAGACTGGCAGTTAGCAATGTTCAAGGGACACCACCAGATTTCCAAGCTTTATAAAATAGGAAGCTGTTAATGTTCAGCAAAAGCTGTTAYGTACGTAGGACGTGCACACAGTGCATGGCAAGCGTGACCGTGCTCGTCTGCGTGTCCTTCCTCTCCAGTTACCTGCTGAGGCTGTTGGCTGGCAGCATAGGGGTTTAGCCAAGGGCAGTGGGGATCTTCTCCCTCAAGAGAGAACTTCGTCAATATCTTGGGCCTGAATTTTGTGGCTATAAAGATAGCAGGTAGATGGGAGAGGCACTAAGCAAGTTGGGTTACTCTTGAGTTGTTGTAAGACATCAGAAATGGAACCAACCTTGTACGTGCTGCATCTGCAGGAGATGGCTGGAAGGCTAGAATATCTGTGTTGAACAACAGATCTGAACCTTCGAAAACCTCTAGAGAAATGGTTTTGCAGCAATTCCTGATTGCCCTAAATTTGATAGCACAGCTGCACTGACTCTTGAAGGGCAAGAACTTCCCTTAAGCTCTAACAAATGTGCTGAAGGGCTCAGATCCTGGGGTACTCAACCATACCTGCTAATGCAGTCCTGCTCTATGGAAAGCGCTTGTGCAGAGCCCTCTCCCTGCCCCCCCCCCCAAAGATATTTGGTTTTGATACTTATTGATCAATCATGATCAACAAGGAGATTTTTGCACTGTCAGCTGGGCAAGGAAATGTTGACAAAGGAAAAGGTATCTGATCTGTTCAACTCCACCTGCTTTTTTATTTCCACCTTGGAGGGAGGCTCTCTTCCTTTCCTAGGGAAAGCATGCAATTAAATTGCAAAAGCTTTTGGAGAGCAAAAGGAATGAATAGAATTGAACTGCAGGAGAAACAGGTCCTGAGAGCGTGCGTGTCTGCGTGATCGTGGGCCAGGGGACCCTGYGTGTGCGGCAGAGATGCTGCACTTGGGGAGTGGGCATCGCTTTTTACCAAAGCTGTTTGTTGCTGTTGTGCAAAACTCTCTGGACTGACAATCCTGAGCTCGCTTCTGATGACCTCAGTCAATGCCCACTTAAAGCTAGCTTCTAACTTAGTGCTTGTCTCTCTTTTGTGTGCAGCTGAGTAGCCCTGGCCAGATAGCTCGATGCCTGCGGAGAGGTTAATGAAGGGGAGAATTGCCGTGGGTTTGGGGCCGGCCTGCCTCCCTCCCACTGCCTCCTAAGGGCCTTTTATTGCTCATCATAACACCTGCAAGATAGGGTCCAGGGGACAAATCTTTACTGTCCAGCAGTGCTCTCTCACTTGGAATTTAATAAACACTTCTGCTGTCACACCTTAAAACATCTGAGCTCTTTTCTGTTGTATGTGCAATCAAGTATTTATTCCCCAATGCTGTACACCAGCAAGTGCTGCCTTGGAGTAGCAGAGATCAGTTATTCAGGTAGTAAAGATGTGTGAATGCAGCTGGCAGATGAAGTCACCAACATTATGAATTCCCAGCCTGTCCCTGTTGCCACAGGCAATAGCGGCAGGCCGGAGCGGCGGCGCTTTCCCGTGCGCCGCTGCTGGGGCTGGCGCGTCCCACCCGCGCTGCAGGGCCTCGACACCCCCGCGTGAAAGCGATACRGGCTCGGGTCCTTGACCTGGGCCTGTAATTACCTGGGCAGCATAAAGGTGCCTTGTTGTTGCAGGGAGCCCGCGCGCCAGCCCGGGGGTCTGTCCCGCAGCCTGTTCTTCACAGCGAGGCTGTGTAACAGGCGGCTCTTAGGGGACGCTGGGGGTTAGTGACAACCTGAGCCCGTGCCCAGCGATGCTCGGTTGGTAATTCTGTGTTCTCTCTGGTTAAATGACTTTAACTTATGGATCTCTCCTGTAATAACTTTTCAGCAAATTCTACTTATGGTATCTATTTCACACCTTTATTAGGTAACTTATTTTAAGTGTTTCAGGCGCTGTTTCTTGAATAGTGATGAAACTGCGGGATATACTCAATTTTTCTTTTCTTCTTAGTGAAATAGCCCAGCCTGTGTGCGCACATGCTCACTCCATCGAGCCAGCTAAATAAATGTGTGTGAGCTGCATAATGCAATTTAGATTTTTTTCAGCTTTATCTAGCTGATCTAATTTGAGAAAATGTTATCTGATGGTTTTTGAAGAGAGCCTTAAGACAGAACTGACTTCAGCAGACTCCGAGATG